CAAGCTTTATTAAGATCGATAAATAAGCTTGATGGAGCTTTATTTAGTGCAAGAAAGTAAATGAAAAGGAAAGCTTAGTTTAAACACGAAGATCAAATTGACATTTAGACTGATGTCATAAAATGGGAAAGAAAGAGAGTTGTTCCAAATGGCAATTCTCTAGGTTAACACCATTGATGTTCAAGACTAATTTATATGAATCTACTTGCTTAATTAGACCTAAATACATGGGCTAATATCATGGACGTGTCATGTGTGCTTTAACATAGATGTTCGGATTCAATCACCCGATAATGGCTTGACGATCTCTAGTAATTAAGGAAGAAACCTTTCGTAAGCATATTCTTTACTTCTCGATCGGTTGCATTGATGAGAATTTTGTTTACTTATTAGTAGATCAATCTCACTTTTAAGTTAGAGTTTAGGTGAAACTTCTTTCACTTTTAAGAGATATTTCATTTTGTCTTAACGTCGTTTTAGTTATTTGAGTCCATAAACACAACACGGTGGCGGCGATGTGTCATTTTTTCTTTATAAGTGTCAATTTGTCTTAACTAAACGCCTTATTGAGTTTATGGACTCAAATGACTATTATGACGTTGTTTTCTTGAGTTTATATAGACTCAAATGACCAAAACAACGTCTTTGGTTAAGACAAAATGACACATGGTCGCCGCCGTATCGTCTAAGTGAGCAAAAACAAACGGTTAACCAACCTATTCATGAAGTCTCTAGAGCAGATAGAAGGTTTCAAAGACTTTTAAACCAGCTGGAAGGTTCAAGGGAAAGAAGAGAGGTGGTTTTAATGGAGTTTCCATAACCCGATATGTTCACATTTGGCCATATCTTCTCCATGGTTTGATGACTTGATCCAATCAAAACAGCATATTATTTGAAGAGAACGAGGCGCTGAAACACTTACCATATCAGGGGCACATGAATCTCTACGTGGACAAGTTTTCCATTGTCTTGTTCTTGCATTTTTATGGCTAACGGCCATATTCTTTATTTTGCGTACTTGTTTCCTTCTTTAGTGTTTTTGAACATTATTCTAGACTTTTTTATGAGCTCTTTATAAGCTCCTCTATTTCTCCATTGTAATATTCAACTCTCTTTTTTTGAATGAACGTAAAATTCCGCCTTCGTACACATCTTGATTTCATATGGAGCTGAGTTTGTTCCTTACACTTTTGTCAATGATGCTGATGAGTTTTTGAGCCGGTATGGGAGTGTAGCCGTGGCGTCTACCATTTCTTTCCCTCCATAGTTCATACACAATGGATTGAAAGCTGAAACGTGTAACGCATGAAGAACTTGGAGAGGCTTTTCTGGTTTGGATCGAGAAGTAATGGAAGAAGAATGTACCAACTTGTTGTGAAATGATTGCCTAAAATCCCTCAGATAAGAGATGATATTCAACTGTTCTACAAATTAATAAGCTTTTGGTTTTCTACAAAGTGTGTCTTTGTGTTTTGTCATCTCAAGTCTAGTGTGCATTCACTTTTCTTGAGTGATTTTCGAGCTGAATAATAACTTGTGGATTCAAGTTATTTAAATTGTATGTTGAGTGTGGATTCATTCAAAACTTCCATCTCCATCACTACTTTCATCCATCCGACCATTCAAGCTTCAAACCTTTGCTTCCGTTGATCAAACCATTGGTGGATTCCCGTGGCTGCGTCAGTTCTATTCTACTTTCCATTAAAGATGGTTCAAAGTTACTTCAAGCAGATATTTTGTGAATGGTTTTAAGTTATTATTTCTGTCTATTTGAGTTTTTGCATTTTGTTGTAGAATTTGCTTTCTAGTTATGATATACTTCACTATGTATATATTGACTCACCTTTGGTCATCCAAGTCCTATATCTAGAAGATAGATGAGCAACTGAAGACACGTGACGACTGACGAGGTCCCTAATGAATCAAACACCACATAAAGAGAGCTAACAATAGGATAATTAACCATCCTCTCGATCTCTCTGACTTTCCATATTTTCTTGTTTTTCAATTTTCTATTTAGAGACAAAATGAAGAAAGCAAAGACTATTTCTACAAAGTAAACTCATCTTGTTTTGATTGTGATTTCTAGTTACTAATTCATCAGACATGAAGACCATTCCATTGATATGCATCGCCACCATCATAATCTTGACATCATTTCCAGCTACAATCAAAGTCATCGGTGCCAAAAAAGAGCAACCATTTTGCAATGTGGAGCTTCTACCTTGCGTCCTACCTTTTCAAGTTCGCGGTCACGGAAGCAAACTGCCTAATGGCTGTTGTGAGAAAATGAAAAAGTCAACATCATGTATGTGTAGATTCCTAGCGGCCAAGGATCGTAACCTGAACGCAGCTGCTCATAGAATATTCTGGTTTTGCCAAATTTCCGTCCCTAATTGTCAAAAAATCTAGAGATATAGGTTATGGTTTTGTTCTTTATTTATTGTATAAATAAGTTATGTTCCTCGGCTATATCTACGACTTGGTTAATTGAAGCTCGAGAGACACAAGTCGAGCTTCAATACATAACCTTTTAAAGAACATATAACCGTCTAAGGGGTAAATTGTTATTATTTACTTTATCGTCCTTTGTAACTAACACAGAAACATGATTAATTTGTGAAAAGAATAAGTGCCCAAATTCGGGCTAAAGGATAAAGTATATTTTTCGACGAACCATAAAAATTAAAATAATCGACTCCGCATATATTCTTCGACCTTTAAAATTTGTTCGAGATTTATTTCAAAACGCAAAGTAATCGACTAGATTGGGAAATCAAACTTCACAACAAATGCAAAATTTTCTACTAAAATGTTGTTAAAAATGGGACACATTAGTATGCTTATGTCACTTGTGAACAATATCCGTTTCTATTTTTTTTTCTTTGTGGTAAACTAAGAAGTTCCGGCCGAAACCTATGCATCTTCCTAGGTCTGGACCAGTTTTTTATATTTTTACTTATTCCAGCTGCTACATGATCCTCTGACTTTTTGGAATTTTTCAGGGTACCTTTCCAGTCGAGTTATTGATCTCTGCCAGTAATGTATGTTTCTAAATTGACAAGTGAAAACGACTTCGTTTACAAGTTTGATATACATCACATGTCGTTCTTCGTCAACGCCGGTGAAAAAAAACTTAAAACACGTCAAAAAGACAAAACCACCTTTGTCTTCTTGCTTTCTTCGCCCACAGCCCACGACGATCAATTTAAGACCAATCTCAAAACCATCATGACGACGAGGATCGAATTAGACTTCACTTCTTAGCTTTTTGACTCCTTGCCTCACTTTTCCTCAAAGGCAAGGTTCTAAAATACGGTGTACATATAACATATATACGATGTACGGTGAGAAACCGTATACAATTGCTTAACACAACTAAAGTAGCAAGCTATTTGTTAATTAAATTGTATGGTGAGTGTGGATTCATTCAAAACTTCCATCTCCATCACTACCTTCATCCATCCGACCATTCAAGCTTCGAACCTTTGCTTCCGTGGATCAAACCATAGGTGGATTTCTCGTGGCTACGTCAGTGCTATTCTACTTTCCATTCAAGATGGTTCAAAGTTCTACTTCAAGCAGATATTATGTGAATGAATTTAAGTTATTATTTCTGTCTATTTCAGTTTTTGCATTGTGTTGTAGAATTTGCGTTCTAGTTGCGATAAATACTTCTCTATGTATATAATTGACTCAACTTTGGTCATCCAAGTCTACACTAGTTTATACTTTCATATGGTATAGTTCGGGTCCTATATCTAGGACTAGGAGATAGATGAGCAGCTGACGACACGTGACGAGGTCCTTAATGAATCAAACTCCACATAAACAGAGCTAACAATAGGATAACTATCCTCCCTTCTCTCCAGACTTTCCATATTGTTTTGTTTCTCAATTTTCTATTTAAAGACACCTAAAATAAAATGAAGAAAACAAAGATTATTTCTACAAAGTAAACTCATCTTATTTTGATTGTCATTTCGAGTTACTAATTAATTAGACATGAAGATCATTCCATGGATACTCGTCACCATCATTATGATCTTGGCATCATTTCCTGCTAAGATCAAAGTATTTGGTGCCAAAAAAGAGCTACCATTTTGCAATCTGGAGCTTCTACCTTGCGTCCAACCCTTTCTAGTTAACGGTCACGGAGGAAAACTGCCTAAAGGCTGTTGTGAGAAAATGAAAAAATCAACATCATGTATGTGTAGATTCCTTACGGCCAAGGAACAGAACCTAAACGCAGCTGCTCATAGAATATTCTGGTTTTGCCATATTTCCGTCCCTAATTGTCCAAAAATCTAGAGATTATAGGTTATGTTCCTCTGCCATAATTATGACACTATGGTTAATTGAAGCTCGACATGGGTGAGACACAAGCCGAGTTTCAACATATAACCTTTTAAGGGGCAAATTAATCTCTTACTTTATTCTTCTTTAATACATATAAAGAAGTTGTAACTAACAGAAAAACATGATGAATTTGTGAAATGAATAAGTGCTCAAATTCGAGCTAGGAGATCATGGATTAAGAAATATATTTTTCGGCAAAAGGTAAAAAAAAACCCAAATTTAATTGAATCCGTATAGTGCTTCGACCATTACAATTCATTCGAGTGCAAAATAATCGACTAGATTGAGAAATCAATCTTGACAACAATGCAAAACTTTGTACTAAAATGATGTAAAAAATGGGACATATTAGTATGCTATAAGCTTTGATCAAAAAAAAAAAAAAAAATTAGTATGCTATAAGCCTATAACACATGAGCAATGTGTTTCTAAATTGGTAAGCCGAAACGACGTCGTTTACAAAGTCCGATACTTTTTTTTTTTTTTTTTTTTTTTTTTTTTTTTTGTCGACATTACAAAGTCCGATACACACCATCACATGTGGTTCTTTGTCAACGCCGGTGAATTAAGCATAAAAGTTAAAACACGTCAAAAAAGACAAAACCACCTTTGTCTTCTTGCTTTCTTCGCCCTTACTTTAACCCCACGACGATCAATTCAACAAGACCAATCTCGAAAAACCATCATGACGACAAGTACTAGACTTCTCTTCCTCGCTTTCCTTCTACTTGCTTCACCTTTCCTCAAAGGTAACAACTTTCTCTGCTCCTCCATAGCTATAGATCTTGTTCATTCATTTTCTGACATGATCTTTGTTAAATTCATTATGATGGGTTTTGTTTGCTATTAGTTGCTTTGTGCCAATCGGATTCGGAAGATACTGGCGTTGAAGTTTCTGATGTTAGTGAAGAAGAGAGTGATGCAGAGGAAGTTTTTGGTTTGGAACTTAGCTCAGCTCTTGGAATTGAAACCCTTTGCGTTTTCCCCCAAAACAGTGCAAAAAGTACAGATTTTTACTCTGTTTCTGAAATTAGGGTTCTTCCCAATTATCTTGTGTGTTCTGCTAATCCTGGTTTTGTCTGATTTTCTATAGTAATAAAAGCTGGAATTGAGACTGAGCTGCTTGTTGGAATGAAAAATGATGGTAATGAAATTGATTTTTCATCAAATGATTACTTGAAAGTTAGCTAATAAAGTTTCTAATTTTGTGTTGGGTTATATGAATAGGTCAATCCAATGTAGATATTGTTGCTGTTAAAGGCAGTTTATATCTTCCTTTTGATCAAAATGCTGTTCAGAATCTCACTGCTCTGGTAATTAATGATCTTGCTTCCTATTGTTGGTTCCTTGTCCTTCTCTACCTTTTAAATCTTGCTCATCTATGTTTTTGACCTCGGTTAGTCACATTTATTTGCTGTTGTTAGGTACTTTTATTGCTTGTTTTTGTTTCATCTCATGTCTCTCCCTCACTCTGGACCAAAAACATTTACAATTCGAAGCCAGTTTCGTGATTTTGTTTTCGAAGCATCTTTTTCAATTCCCATTGCATTATATAACTTACCGGTCTATCATTCTCTTTGATTACAACTCGGTATTATATTTTCTCTCTTTGTTAGGTCTATCATTAGTTTATAACAACACCTACACTTATTTCTTCTCTGTTTCAGAATTCAAGAAAGCCTCTCTCTTGCCTTTAATCATGCTCATCTATCTTTTATACCTAGCTACTTTCTTTGGTCGTCTCTCTAGGCCATAGCTTTGCTGAACACAGAGATTTCACCTCTTTTCCTATTCTGCCATTAAGTAGTATCTTGTATTTGTAGAGTTTCAGCAACGCATCTGTGCCAACTTCCGCTCAAGCTACCTTCCCATATGTTTTTGCTGTCAGCAAGTTCCTCCAGGTATGTTTGTTTATCATATAGTTCTTTTTACTCTCCAAAATGATTATAAAATATAGAAAAGAATCCGAGCTAACCATTGTTGTGCAGGCGGGTGCTTTTGATTTAGTTGGCACCATCATCTATGAGATAGATGGTAAGCCATACCAAAGCACCTTTTACAATGGAACTATCGAAGTTGTTGAAGACGGTCCTCTCTTCAGGATGGAGTCAGTCTTCCTTAGTGGCCTTTTGATTTTTGTTATCATTCTTCTAGCCATATATATCCAAAATGGTTTGAAGCATATGACTAAGGTACATCTTATTTCGCTATCTTATCGCACTTTCCATTCCATGTGTCATTTTCTCTTATTTTGATACTTATTTTGAGAATGGTTACTGTGTATTCTTCGCGCAGAAAACAAAGAGAGCACCAAAAGTTGAAGTTGGAACCACAACTAAAAATGCTTCGCATGATGAATGGCTTGAGGTATTCGTCAAACAAGACCTAAGAACTTGTCCATACTGGTTTTTACTTTATTGAGCATTTTGGTATTGATACATTGCTCTCAATGTATTGCGTAATGCAGGGTACTTCGTACACTCAATCATCGAGTAAGTCAAAGAAGAAGAAGTAGATTAAGAGCAAATCTCACACTCTTTGTTAGGGGACTTGAGATAAGAAACCGAAAACATACGAACGATACTAAGTTACTAACGTTGCAGTTGTTGGTAGAGATAACTTCACAGAATCTGTAATGCTTTTTTTTTTTTTTTTTTCTCTAGCTATAGATGTTGCAAGTAAACAATTCTCTTTTTCTTTTGTAATTTGTCAGAATTATTTTCTTTTTGTTTAGAAAAAAGCATAATACTCTTTTCAAAGTTCATGAACATAGTAAAGAAAAGTTGAAAAATCATTAGATTAGGAAGGTTTAAATTTTGTATTTGGAAATTGTTTTGTTTATGGACTATTATGATGTGATATTGGAAATTGTATTCCGCTGCCGGGCTTTGAACCCAAAATTTTCCATATCCTGAAGAAAAATGTAACCATTGGGTTACAGCAGAACTTTTGTTAAACTATGACTATACAATTGTGCTTATATTATTCGTTATAAAACATTTCAGATTTATTAGAGCATAATCATACATATAAAAGTAAGGTTTCACTCTCTTCTTATTGGTCCATTTGGAAATGTAACTTTTTTTTTTTTAATTAAATCATAAATAAAACACATTTAACTCACACTTTAATATAAAAACTAAAATCATTAAAATTATACATTAACTATATTTTTCCACTCAATTTTATTCAACACACAATAAATTAGAATTATAACTCCCATAATTTATTTATTTTAATTGTAACTTATCTCACTTCTCATCCTATAAATACTCATTTTTCATTCTCTCATCCTCTCACCCTCTTCCATTATAACTCAAATCTTAAATATTTTTTTGTTTTGTGTTCTTATATCCCCTATATATTAATAGAGAAACATTTTAAAAAAAAAACCTTACCATCATGTGTTATTAACAAGATTGCCACGCTGATGTGTCGCTCTCACAATGATTTGGCTTCTATTTAGATAATTACCCAAGATTTATTAGACTATTTACAGAATTTGCCATTAGTCTCATACATCCATATATCCCATTAATAATTAAAAACATACACTTTTTGTTTATCTTATATTACTAAATTTTTATATTTATATTATTTTTATATACATTTATATAAATTTTCTTTAGAGGATGGGTAAACAATCTTTTTATTTATATTTATATTTATGTTTATATTTAAATGATAAAATATATACATTTGGTTCAAGAATCTCGAATTCAAAACTACAAAATCTTTACATCTTTCATAAATTTTTTACTTAGATAAATAAGATAATCTCCTTTCTATATATGTTACGAATACTTAAAATCCTATTTTTTGGAGGAATTCTAACTTTTCGAAGAAAAACATTATAACCACATTTGTATATAAACCAAAATCTGGCCACATTATAACCATTTCGTAAATAATCCATTCATAATCTAAGAATCGTAAATTTAGAACACTACAAAATCTTAGCTTGGAAACTATCAAATCTCTTTTGGATTTCTTATACTTATTAAAAAAAAAATCTTTTTATACTACAAAATCTCGAAATCTTTAAAACATACGGAAAGACATATTGCCAAAAATGGTAACATTTCGTCAATACTTTTTTTATAACGTTGAAGCTTTATTCAAGGTTCAAATATTTCACGGGTAAAACATATTCTTATATGAAATAGTCCCAAATTTGAATAAAAAAAAAAAATTGTAACATGTTTCGTTTTACACAAACGGGTCTTAGATCTCGGATATTAATTTTAATCATAATAATTTTAATTGAATCACTTCATCCCGCACATCGTGCGGGTTGTTATCTAGTTAGTTTTTTTATTTGGAAAGATGCGTCTTCATTGTCTATTTTACATTATCATCTTATAAGTAATCATTCTCTCATCTTCTTCCACTATATTTATGTGTCTATTTTTGAGTTGTTATATGGATTAAAAATCAAGAATTTGATTCTAAATTTATTTTAGAATGTATTATATATATATATCTAACATTGTATTCATTTTTGTATATTTCTAAAGCCATACTAAAATATACTTATTTATTCTTTAATTTTCATATTTTTAGTTTAAATTCACATATGTATACTAAAAGTTTTGATGGTTATAACAAAAATTTCAGGTTTATTGGTGATGGAGAATTAAATATATCAATTCCAATCATAGCACAACAAGATAATGAAGTTGAAAAGATCAATTTCCATTATCTACTTTAGATGTTTGATTATTTTCTAATATATTCATGTAATTTTTTTAATTATGCAATATTTAATGAAATAAATGATTGTAATACCTTTATTAAATATATATTTCTTATCTTTTTCTTATCTCGAATAAATTTTGTAATTTATTTTTAATATATGTATTATTATATTTACTTTTTGTGATCCAATAGATAATTATATAAAAATCGTTATACTGTTTATTTTATTTAAAATTTGAGGTTTAAGTATTTTTTTCAAATTAAAAAGAATTTCGATAAAAAAAAAATTTGGTCCTTAAGATTAAAAAAACGAATCATATGGTTCAATAAAATTAAATTTAGGTAGAATAGAAAATTAGAATGAAACCTAACAGTCATACTTAAATAGGGTAAAATATACAAGAAAATAACTATAATTAAAACAAAAATCATTTTATTAAATCTTATAAAGATAAAACCATTAGTATAAAATCTAGCACTAAAATTTAAATTGATGAGTAAAATTAAAAAAAAAAATAGAAGTTATCCTTGGATCTTTGATGATTTTAAATAGATTGAAGTTCATATGATTTTATAAGAAAAATAAATTTAGTTTGCTATTTGCAAAATAATATGAATTTGAACTATTATGTGGGAGTTTATATCAACAAACAAACAAATTATATGTGAGTTTATATCAACAATTTATTTTGTTAAAGTAATAGATAACATATGTTTATTGATGTTTACATACATAAATAATAGTAAAGTAAAAAATAATACTAAAATATGAGCAAATTCAAGATATCAAATCTTAAAAGCCTTTTAAAAAATCTCAATCATATTTATATTGAAACAAATGTCATCCACATCATTAGCATGTAATAATTTAAGATTTTTCTATAATAATATATTTTATGTATTTTCTCATATTTTGTAACCTCCATACTAATAATTATCATTATGTTTTTAGTGCTCACTCTAAATTGCAACAATCCTTTAAATACAATCAATACAAAATGAATTCTACACAATGAATTCTTTGAAATGTAACATCACTTTTATTATATACATACAATTAACTTACTCATAAATGACATTTAAACATAATTTTTAAAGTTGAATAGTTGTAAAACGTAAATATGTTGTCTTCTATAAATAGTAATATACACATATCACTAACTTTCTTTTATTATATTCCAAATTTCGTAATATTGATAAATTTTATAACACTTTCTTTTATAATCCGACTAATGGTGTTTCAATATTACATTTTTGGCAGAAAAAAAAATATTACATTTTTGTCAATTTTGTAAGAGGTTGTGAAGAGGAGATGTCATGTAACCAAGAAACCTTACTCACAATCAATCGTATGTGCTATTTCAGAAGTCTTTTAAAATGAGCGAGTTGAGAAACCCGAAGTTTGTAATGCAACAAGAGAAGATATACTAATGTTGATTTTCTTTGTCCAAAACAATCAATCTATATAAAACTGAATTTTGATTGACTCAAAATAAATTTGATATTTTTGAAGTGAGATTAAGAAGAAAATCAAAAAGAATAATGATGAGTAGAAGGAAAAAATACAATTGAGTATGCTTCCAAACAACAACAATGTTAAGTGGTAGTGGAAGTAGACGCTTGAATTGTATAATGGAATAATTCATCTCTCTTCAATTATCTCTTACAATATAATTCATCTCCATTCCTACATCTATTTCTTAAACTGTAAAAAAATTACAGAATAAATTATTTGTTATATATTTCTCAAATAAATTATGTTTTTACAAGTAGCATAAAATGGTTATTTTATTAACGGAGAATAAACTAATAAAATGGTGTTTCAACATTTGTTACGTCATTTATGTGATTTTAAATATTTTCATTAAGTAGATAAACAACTTCGAATCAAGTTGTATCAAAATATAACAGTAGACTCAATTCAAAACTCAGCCCAAACCCAATATGTATAACATTTGGTTATGATATTTTCATTAAGTAGAAAATAATAGAAAATTTGTTGTATTACCAATACTTTTAAATTCTTTAAAATGCAACAATAACTTTTAAAATTGGATAAATTTAGAATATCAACTTTACTATTAAAATAAAAATTATAAATTGAAAACGATGTAACTTATTTTTCATAGTAAGGTTTAATATTTTCACATTTTAACAAAATAAGTATTATTTATGTATACGTATTATATTACTATAATCATTAATTTTATCATCAACACTCTTAAAATTTCTAATTGGCATCAAATATTGTATTGATTAAAAGCAGTAATATACTCTTAAATATTTTTTTTAAAACATAAATATCATTGTATATAGATGAATACAATTAAAATTTTATAGAAAAAAATAAAACTTGAATTTACTGTCATTCATTTATTTTTTTCCTTTTAATTTTAAATTCAAACAAAAAAACTATGTAAAATAAATAGCAAATATATAAAATAGTATGCAACAAGCCGCGATACTCGCGGCTAAATAACCTAGTAATAGTCTAAGGTAAACCTCATCTGATTTGTTGAATTGAGTCTTTTACTACGAAACTGGGCTTGACTGTTTTTAGCCCATAGTTAATGGAATGATATAGTCGCGGTTCAACGTATTTTACATTCCTTTTGATCAAAATTTCAGAAGAATCACATTGCTCTGGTAATTAATGAACTTTATTTCCTCTCAAATTTATTGCCTCTGATCTCATTTGTTAATTTGGTATTTCCAAATCAGTCTTAGTTTGCTTTTGTGCTAGGTTCTTTTCATTGCCTATTTTGTCTCATCTCATGTCACTCCACACCCTGCAACATAAACAACAATTGCCTTTTCAAACTTGTGGTGTGTTTTTAGTTTTCTAAACTTTTTGTGACACATTTAATTACAATTGACGG